GACCAGAAGCTCTCCAGATGCCACGACTCTAACTCCCAGTTGCCACAGCTACTGCCAAAACGGAGAAAACCTCTGTTTATACATGCAAAGCTTCATGATTGTCTGCCTTAGAGAGACGGCAGAAATGCTGAGGCTGTGTCCATGGCATTTTCACTGCAGGGTTATTAAGATCGTGAAAATAGTCTGGGTTGAACCTTTGGGGGCATTCACACTCATTTATTTTGTCCCAAGGAGATGCGGATCGCCGCGCTGATGCATATCAGGTTGTTATTCCCATTTTGTTTTGGGTTCACGAATCTCTTCAAGTCATTTTAACTCTTGTGTTATTCATACATGCCATCATTTCGGGATAAAATGGAGCCGCCTCCATTTCCTTGAACTATACAGAGCGATCCAAATTTATTCAAAAGTTTATTCACACTTCCAATGATGTGGATCATTGCAGATCTTTCAGGAAAACTCAGAAAAAAAAATTCAGTATGAAATATCCTGGATTAAGTGGGGTTTTTTGCCAGCCCTCCCCAAAAAAGTGCATTGAGTGCATTCGGGACATGTGTGAGCACCAAGAATTCAACCTGGATTCATCCCGGATTATTTTCATAGTGTGAATAGGGCCTTTTTTTGTTCACATGCATTTCAAATGCATCAGATTAAGTTGGGGAGGGCTGCCAAAAAAACCACTTAACCCAGGATAATCTTGGGTTTTTTCTGGGTTTTCCTAAAAGATTCACATTGAATAGACCTGGGGAAAACCTGGATAAAACTCTGCATGCCTTGAATGTGCTTCAAATACATTTGCGTCATTGACTCCAACTTACTTTGAGCGCTGACACGTGTGAGCAACCGAACTCGCAGAGATGCGGTTCCGATAAAAAAGAAATAGTGTAAACAACAAAACCTGAATGCGTGAATATGATCATATGGATCGTTGTGCTGAAAAACCACAACATCTGAATAGGACCTGGGTGTTACGGCTGGGATTACCAGCAGCATTCAGACCAAGTATAAGGCAGCATCCTAGAGAGAATTTGGAAATGTTACTTTTGGGGCCATGTGGATTCTAGGAGCTTGTAGTCCACAGCTTTTCCAAACTCTGCTCCTAGGTAGGGGTCTTTTTCACACAACTATAGCACTTGGATACCTGGGCAAGGGCTACTTCTGAACAAGTTGAGATTGGTTATGTGATGCCAGACCTTACCGAATGCCCACTTCCAAAGCCAGGCTTGCCCTTTGGGCATAAGGGGCTTGCAGTCAATGGGGCCTGTGGTTGTGAGATGAGCTGGTGTTGCAGTTTGTGTGTGTTTCTGTGGTTGTGAGATAAGCTGATGTTGCAATCTCTGTGTGTGTGTCTCCATTGCCTCCTCTGGACATTGCTCTCTGGGTCTAATTCGGCATGGCACGGACGTAGCCCTTGCCCAGATTTCTCTGGCAGGAGCCACTAGGCAACATAAATTCCTGCCTGTCTTTTGGAGTAGGAAGACAAACGGTGCCTTGAGTTATTCTTTCTTCCCACCAGCTGCTGCAGTTC